ATATATATATATATATATATCTTTATATACACTCACCTAAAGGATTATTAGGAACACCATACTAATACTGTGTTTGACCCCCTTTTTTTTTCCTTCAGAACTGCCTTAATTCTACGTGGCATTGATTCAACAAGGTGCTGAAAGCATTCTTTAGAAATGCTGGCACATATTGAGAGGATAGCATCTTGCAGTTGATGGAGATTTGTGGGATGCACATCCAGGGCACGAAGCTCCCGTTCCACCACATCCCAAAGATGCTCTATTGGGTTGAGATCTGGTGACTGTGGGGGCCATTTTAGTACAGTGAACTCATTGTCATGTTCAAGAAACCAATTTGAAATGATTCGAGCTTTGTGACATGGTGCATTATCCTGCTGGAAGTAGCCATCAGAGGATGGGTACATGGTGGCCATAAAGGGATGGACATGGTCAGAAACAATGCTCAGGTAGGCCGTGGCATTTAAACGATGCCCAATTGGCACTAAGGGGCCTAAAGTGTGCCAAGAAAACATCCCCCACACCATTACACCACCACCACCAGCCTGTACAGTGGTAACAAGGCATGACTCTACCATCTGAATGTCTCAACAGAAATTGAGACTCATCAGACCAGGCAACATTTTTCCAGTCTTCAACTGTCCAATTTTGGTGAGCTCTTGCAAATTGTAGCCTCTTTTTCCTATTTGTAGTGGAGATGAGTGGTACCCGGTGGGGTCTTCTGCTGTTGTAGCCCATCCGCCCCAAGGTTGTGCGTGTTGTGGCCTCACAAATGTTTGCTGCACACCTCGGTTGTAACGAGTGGTTATTTCAGTCAAAGTTGCTCTTCTATCAGCTTGAATCAGTCGGCCCATTCTCCTCTGACCTCTAGCATCAACAAGGCATTTTCGCCCACAGGACTGCCGCATACTGGATGTTTTTCCCTTTTCACACCATTCTTTGTAAACCCTAGAAATGGTTGTGCGTGAAAATCCCAGTAACTGAGCAGATTGTGAAATACTCAGACCGGCCCGTCTGGCACCAACAACCATGCCACGCTCAAAATTGCTTAAATCACCTTTCTTTCCCATTCTGACATTCAGTTTGGAGTTCAGGAGATTGTCTTGACCAGGACCACACCCCTAAATGCATTGAAGCAACTGCCATGTGATCGGTTGATTAGATAATTGCATTAATGAGAAATTGAACAGGTGTTCCTAATAATCCTTTAGGTGAGTGTATATACAGCTGCACATTCTCCTCAAAACATTGGATTCATCCGCGCTGTGCCGTACCGAGGCACAACCCATGTAAAGTTGATAATTCCACGAATAACTCCAATTGCAGATTTCGAACAGAGATGGCGACAAAGAGAAAAAACTACGGACTGCAGCTTTAAAATGTAACTGAAGTGTGTGAGAATGACGCAATAACAGCTTCCAGATCCAAATCCACAGGTTCTGGATCTTGTTCTTGCACAAATTAAGCCCTTTGCTTAAATAAATGCATGAGATATATTGGATGTATGTTTTCACTTGGATCTGCATAGATTTATGTTGGGATAGAGCCAAAGCAAGCCTTAAGCCTTAAGCTTAAACATCTATCACCAGCTGATCCTCCTCATTATACGGCTTCACTGATATAGGCCATCATTCCCTTAAAAACATACAGCCCTTGTAACCGACCTGTTGTGTCCCGTCTCATGACGTCAGGGTTCAACACGACCTTTTGATAGATCATGTTTACTTTTGAATGAAAATTGACAGGCAAACTGTACACCCCTCGACGGAGGTGAGTAAATTATAGCTAGGTTTCTATTAAGGAGGGATTATGTTGTCTTGAGGGAGTCAAAGCTTTGTAAGCGAATGAATCCCAAACCTCTAAATCCTATTAGCTGCATACAGAGGTGAGGGAACACAGAGCCATGGCTTAACCTTAAGACTGACAGACGCACAATTGTGTTTTATTGCATCTGTTTGTCCTCTCTCTTTCAACAAACACAGCCCAGCATAATAGAAATTGTCTGAGGTCTCTATAAACCTGATTCATAATGGTTTTGTTGCCTTCCTGAGTAAATCTTCCTTTCTCTTCCGTTTCTCCATCATCTATCTAATCTGAAACATATTCTGTCGTCACAGGAAGTCTTCAAGACACGTCTGAATTCAATGTTTGCATAACATTCTGTCTAGATTCCTCTACTTGGTTTTTGAAGACAGCATATAGATATTTCCTTCACTGTCGGCGGTTTGTGTGTGTGTGTGTGTTTTTCAACTTGACTCCGTTTCTACTAAGAAATAAGCATTGTAGTCACCATGGTACCACCACAGTACTTTTTGTGAGGGTATTAAATATGTAACAATATTCAGTGCACTATACACTTGCATTTTACACTTGATCTTTTCCCAAATATTAGTCTAAATTCCCTGAATTATTAAATATTTCTGCCATTGTCATATAAGTTAACACCTCAAGCATCTGGGTCACCTTACCATTCATTTCTTGTTCATAGTTTTTGTGATGTTTTAAATGTAATTTTATTAACCAAAAGCCCTATATAACCTATACCCAATTGGTTAGGCTTTCTAGTAAACAACACACAACCGAACATCATTATATATGTAGGCTAATGGAGTATAAAAGTCTGAAACCACCTTGAAAACCTGTTACTGATTGTATCAAATTAAAAGCATGCAAAAGGCAAGCATTTTCACTACTGGACTCAAACGTTTGGACCCACTATATGTTGCAGAAGCACATGTGTCTGTGTGTGAGTTTATACACAAGGAAAAGAGAACAGTGAAAAGGAATGAGCTTTCTCGCTCTATTTCTTTTTCTGTCCATTTTTCTTTCTCCAACCACGTAATGAATCTGATGTTCTGTTAGAAATAAACTTTTATTGGCGAAGGAGAAACCGGCTGGTTGGAGGAGAGGAGGAAAAGAGGAATGGATAAAGATATGCATTAGTCAGAGGACGGGAGTGCAGGAGAAAGCCCATGAATCTCAATCTAACTTTATTCAGCTGGGACCAGGAAAGAGCAAGCTAGCAAGGTCATCTGAGACAGAGTGACGCAACAATTACACAAGCCTGCCAGACCCATTGTGATTGGTCATCTTGGTCTTTGAGTATCCTTTTTTTTTTGGAGCATTTCAAGATTTCTGCCCACCCTTAAAGGTGAACTATGCAGGTTTTTTACCTCAACCGAACAGCTTCGGAGTCATTGGAATGGTTATATTACTCTTTTCGGGTTGGATGGTGGTCGTTTCGCACACCCCTATCGCATGTGAGCGGAAAAAACACACTTGCAACTTTGAGCCGGCGGGCTGCCGGCCGCAGCATCAGGTAGTGTCGCGTGATATCCGTCTATGGTGATATCAGGTCTCGCGATGTAACGAATTGCTTTACGGCAAAAAAGATCTGATAAAATTTTGATAAAATAAGCATCAAACAGAAATAACCCAGCACCGTATACATGTGGTATTCGAGGCGCACATACAATACAGACTGCCGACAGTTAAACAGGGCGCGCGCAGCTCTTAAAGGGGCCACACCTTATTTCAACTCGTTACAGCGTCCATCCTACTGAACAGGTACCGGTGTACAGGGGGAGGGGATCAGGCCGTGAGTGCAGAGCCATCTCTGCGTGAGTGCTATTTACGACAGTACAAGTACTCCACAGCGACTCTAGGGGTCGCTGTTTGACAAAAACGGAATTCCTGCATAGTGCACCTTTAACTCTCAATAGTTTAACAAGAGAGTATAGTATAGCAAGTATAACTTACAATCTGAGCTATGATGTAGGTGTCAACATTCATTATATATGAGGGATTTTCATTACAGAGGGCTTGTCAAAAGAAATTATGTTGTGATGGGGTGTGGAAATTTACAGTGGGTTTTTCCCAGTGTTAGAATTGGCATTATATTGTAACACTTTACAAGGTTCATTAGTTAATATTAGTTAACTACATTAGTTAGCATGCACTAATAATGAACTGCACTTATACAGCATTTATTAATCTTTGTTACACTATTAAAATCTTGTTAAGATTAGTTAATGCACTGTGAACTAACAGGAACAAACAATGAACAGCTGGATTTTTATTAACTAACGCTAACAAAGATGAACAAATACAGCAACATATGTATTGCTCATGGTTAGTTCATGTTAGTTGAAACATTAACTAATGAACCTTACTGTAAAGTGGTATCCATTATATTTAGCAGAAAATGTTTCAATGCAAAAGTTTGGGGTCAGTAAGATTTTTGTTAAAATAATAAAAATGATGATTTTATTCAGCAAGGATGCATTAAATGAGAGAGCATTCACTAATTAACACAGACTTTATTGTCGTAATACTATGACTATTCTCGTCATTTTGACTTTATTCTCAAAATTGTATGACTTTAATCTCGCTTTATTATGACTTTATTCTAATCTTAAATTATTATTATTTTCACCGTCGTACTGAGGTGTTCCTGACAGTTTTTATAACAATTCTTTGTGCTGCTTGTTTTCCTAAAGTAGAATGGACAAACCCCTTGACAGCCTTATTCCAGAACATTCTGTCCCGAAACCAAAGCTTTGAGTGAAAGTCCACATCACCCAGGGGTGCAGTAGAGGGAGACCATCGAAATCAAGCTACAGATGTTTAATCCTGACCTCGGTGTCATCACAGCAAAACTATAAGAGAAATTACTGCATCTGACCCTTTGCCTTGGCTCAACACTTTGGATTTGGTAGCATTACTTTATGTGTTTTCAGTTTACAAAAGCAGGTTTAGCATAATGCCAGTGTATACTTGTACTTATACTAGCAAAGAAAGACTATGAAAATTAATTTCATTTTCCTCCAGTAGCGTTCCTCATTTGCAGTGTCTACTACAGCAAATGAGATGGAAACAGAATAAGTTTCTCTTTTGCACCCTATTTATTGTATTTCTCCTTTGGTCGTCATTTATCAAATGTGCTCACCATCATTAAGCCATAAGGTCTAAATCATGTATATGTGTAGATGTGGATGTCCTACCCACACAGCTGCAGAGATCTGATTGGTCCTCCCAGTTTCACAAGTATCCAATCAGAGGCCCTTCGAGAAAATCTGCAAACACACAGATATAAGCCTTTAGTCGTTTGAGACATGAAGAATATTTCAAAGCACTCCCATCCATCAAAAAATATGTATTACAATATTATTAGGCAAACATGAATTATAGCCCTAATCTTTTTTACTCCCTCGAATTTCCCAGAATGCACCATCACTTTTCTGTTTTTTAAGAATTATGTTTGTAATCAACTTTTATCTCTAATGTGCACGAAGGCAGAATGCAATACTATAAACGTGTATTGAAGCCAGTACCTGAGCCACATCTATGGACCAGAAGGCTTTTAAGCCTGTATACACTCCAAAATATTTAGGCCTAAATTTAAGACTTATGTATTTGAATCGCATATAAAATTACAGTTTTATCATAAACAAACTAACAAACTTAATGTGTTGGATACTTGTCAGTCATATGAATGTCTTTAAAATAACCATGTTTATAAATATATTTTATTTATATATTTATTAGAACTTTTATAGAAATCTGTTTCTTTTCCGTTTTATTCATTTATGGCTTAATTGTGTGCTGTATGCTTTTCTTCAGAAATTGTAAAAATGTAATCTGACATTGATACACAGGTTTGAATACATCACAAGGATTAAAACGTCTTCAAAAAGGCTTTCATCCAAATGCTTGGCCTTCTAATTTTCTAGACAAGTACGGATATCACTGCTTTATCATAATAGAATGACATGAATAGAATTGGGCGTTTGGCGTACATAAATGCATTGGATTCCATCATAATAGATGCTTTTTATTTATTTCCATATGGATACATATGGATTTATTTGAAGTGGCGGCCGGAGATATTAACAGTACACACACAAGGTCTATTACCAATATTCATAATCACTGTGGATTTCTGCCATATAACAGAAATCATTTCCTCTGCATGCTTGTTTAAAGGCCATTGTAGAAAAATCTACTGCGTGCTGTGGAGCAGACACTTTTCCTTCATCATGTCCACATATGATGAGACGATAATGCTCCATGTGCAATATTTAATAAATTCAAGAGTGTTCACGTGCACCAGATTTCCATGGCCTCTTAGATCTAAATATTACATTGTCTCTGCAATGAGTTTAAAAAAAAAAAACCTGCCAAGAAACTTTTCACCTCATTCATCACAGTTCTGGAAGCCTTCCATCCTAAAAAAAAATCTTTTCCCAATCAGATTTTGTACGGCAGCAACATTACAACTGAATATTCTTGTTCCTCTAATCGCTGTTCAATATGGAATCATTTGGTAACGCCTTACTGTAGCATCTTCTGAGAAACACGTATTTGACATTAATTTATGTATTTATTCGCTTTTTGACAAGGAAAAAGCTCTGATCCACCCATCTGTGTGGCCTACATAGAGAAACTACTGTTCCTGAAATCTGCGCTATTAAGTCACACTGACCCAGGATTGAGAGGCCTCCGAGGAATATGCCCTGTGGCAATCTCTCTCTCTGTCTCCACAACCTGACACCTTTACAGTCAGACGCGCACAAAATAGGCATCGGAGATATCACAAATCTGAGATGGCAACCATTTCAATAGATTTCAATAGCACGTCTCTGACAGCATCACAGCAGACTGCGTTGATGGGAAACTAGACCATTTTGTCTTTCTAAGTGGCTGTTTTTATATGCGATTGCAAGAATGTTCTGTGTGATTGATAGCTGTTTTTTTTATTTTTTACTACCCAAGTCTCTAGAATCTTCCTGAGCAACTTAGTCAGAGTTGGTTTAACTGCCAATGTAACCCCTCCACCCGGGTCCCACTCGACCCGCTCCGAGCGGGCCTCGAACCCGGGTCTTCCGGCGTGAGAGTCAGGCGCTCTAACAAGGAGGCTAAAGACTGCAGCCTCTAGCATCTGTCGCTAGAGAGCCTTTTGAGATCAGAGGAGTGAGGTTTACTCGCACAGCAACTACTAGCTGGCCTCCATTACACTCACCCCCCTAAACCTCACTCCCATCCGGGTCACGGCACCAATGTAACCCCTCCACCCGGGTCCCTCTCACCCCGCTCTGTGCGGGTCTCGAACCCGGGTCTCCGGCGTGAGAGTCAGGCGCTCTAACAAGGAGGCTAAAGACTGCAGCCTCTAGCATCTGTCGCTAGAGAGCCTTTTGAGATCAGAGGAGTGAGTTTTACTCGCACAGCAACTACTAGCTGGCCTCCGTTACACCAACGTGAGTTAGCAAAAAATCTGGTTTAATGGCACAGGCATTTAGTTGTTTAAGTTCATGCTTGCAATGCATTGGACATGCATGCACATCTGCATTCAGTATTCATATATCGAATATGTGACAACATCTGTGAATAGAGCGATACAAATGAATCAAGAATGTCTTTATCTTATTTCCTTCTCAGGAAAATTTAACTTTTTAAAGGATGTTTAGAGGATTTTACTTTACTAAAACAAGACAAACGTCCCTGTTAGCTAACCCAGCTAACAGGGAACATTCTGGAAAGGTTCTCTTAAAAGTTCTAAACAAACGTTCTTCAGTAATGTAAGTGTAAAGTTATGGTCTTTAATAACACTCTCAAAACATTAGCACAAAAACATTTTATTTATACATTGTTCATGGATCGCCCCCTCTTCCTCCTCAGACTCGACACTCACATGGGTTGCCAGATTGAGGACATGCAACAGGAATGAGAGCAAGAAGGCGACGAGTTGATTTATCTGCATTTACAGTAATATGTCTCTGGACAGTTGAATACTAAAATCTGCGATCTCTGACCCAGTTCGTTTGCTTGCGTCCATGGCTACAATAAGCTGTGTTTTCCGCCAACTGGCAACCCAGGGGTGTCAAAATACTATTAAGTAAATTGGCAGTGCGGGATCGCACAGACCCAAACAAAAACAAATATTCCGACATGGAAAGCACATTTCGAAATAGAATAACTGGCTGTAGCATTGTTTTTTCCAGAGAAACAAGTATATGAACTTAGAATGTTTCCTAAATATCTGCAAATATATTACTGTATTTAATGATTTAGTGCATCCAAAAAAAAAACGGTACATACAGCACCTTTAAAACTTGTAACTTGTTATAAATTGATCAACGACATTGTTGTATTACAATATACGTAACCTGCATCTTTGTAGCTGTTAAAAATGTGAAATTATTAAATATGAGCTTGTCCTGCATTAAAAAAAAAAAAAATTATTAAACAAAAACAGATATTGTAGCCTACATAATGGCATGCCGGCATTAACAAATATATTACAAACAGAAAGTGAGTCTTCAATATTCTCTAAAATCTAATTTCTGTATAATACTTACTGTAAGTTTGCAGGATTGTTTCCTTTTCATGCACATTAGAGATAAAAGTTGATTACAAACAGAATTCTTAAAAAAGATAGAAAAGTGATGGTGACTTCTGGGAAATTCGAGGGAGTAAACGTTTCAATGCACTGGAATGCTTTTGACAGTGAGACAGCCCTAGAAATGTCTGACTCCAGTGAAATGGCTAATGAACTGAGGCGGATTGATACTAATTAGGAATTTGATACTTTGTTGTCTTTCATTCCAACCAAACATCCATTATTGAGTGTCAGATTCAGATCAGTCAAAGATGTAATAGATGTAATATTATCGAGAGTCGTCTCACTTTCGCACTACTCTCTCTCTCTCTGTGTGTGTGTGTTTCCCCATTCAGTGACTGTTCTTTTGTCCTTTTAACTGGTGGTAATTAAATGAACAGGGTGCTTATGGAGAGGTGTCTTTCTGTTCAATTAACTTGACATACTGTGGTACATTACTGCCATATTTGCTGTGACCTTATATAGTGTAGATAAACTTTGTTCAAATTAATTGCCAGGTTAATGAGTTCACAGCTTGTGCATTTCAGCAAATGGGTTATGTGCCAGCAGGAAGGGAATGTATGTGTCTATTTGCTGAAAAGAAAGGTTTTATCTTTGTGTTCACTTTTTTTATTTTTTTTATTCTTAATAACTTTTACATTATTGCATTTTGCCCCATTTTGAAGAATGTTCACATAAATCCTTTCCAAGGATCAGGCAAATCTATCATGTGGCTTCAGAGTATAGAGTACAAGTCGTATGAACTACTTTTATGGTGTTTTAATTGTGCTTTTTGTCCTTTTTGGAGCTTGACTGCCTGTGGTCATTGTGCAGAAAAGATCTATGTGAAGGTTGGCTCATTGGAAAAACATGCCTTTTGCAAACTCCAAAAACGTACATATAAATATAAATAAATACAATTCACTGCAGTTTCAAACTGGAATGAACACCAGTGACAGTAAAACACCAACAACTTTGATTTCTATTCACACATTTCTATGTGATTGTATGGTATATGATCAATAAATAAAGACTTATTTGCACAACTATGTTAAGGCCTCAAAACACTTACCATAGTGCATGATTTGTAAACAAATACATTTTGACTTCTGCATCACCAAACCAGCTCCATATGTATGGCTTTTCTGACTTAGGGGTGAATTCAGGTTAACTGGAACACTTTTCCTCAGTCATCGGAATAGCAAATGCCTCAATTAACCTGAATTCGCCATGTAAACTTGCTCGGTAGCTCACCTGTACTGCACACTCGGCCACAAGTCCCTTGAAACACGAGTCACGAAGAGCTCAAAGACTTGTAGAAGCCAGCTAAATGGCATAGTTGTTTTAGCAAATGTGCTTTTATCTCACGTCTGCCTTAGTGTACGTGGTACGTTATTTTTGGAGATGGCAAGAGAAAAGGGAATGACATAGAATACGAGGATATAAGGGATTTGCAAGGACAGGGATGCATTTACATTTCTAAGCAGAACAGCATGTCTGAATCAGTATAAAATGTGGGTGCATTTATTCCACGTTTGTAGGTCATTTGTTAGAGGTATACAGTCTGTGTAAGCTTCTTACTGTATTTTTACTCTTATTTTCTCTCACAGACTCATATGTATTCGTCTCTTGGCCATTACATTGCAGTGACCCAGAAAGGCATAAAATTGCATCAGTAAGCCACAAATCACCAAATCC